AGGAAGTCCAATACCATAACAAATTAATATTCATCCAAATGAACAGACCAAAATGTCTTTGAAGTTTTATTACAAAAATAATCATTCATTCATTCATTTAACCTTTATTTAAACAGATAAGTCGCATTGAGCCTCGAAGACTCATTTCAAGTGAGACCTGTTTGGACAGACAATAAAAAGTGGTGAAAAATGACACATAGGGTTTGGAGACAAAAAAAAATAAAATAAATCCTAACACACTTTTAACCTCTGTTTGAAGGTCAACAGTGTGATAATGAAAAAAAATCTCGCACACTAGCACATAATGACGCCGACATTATGCGGGGGGTTGGCGCGCAAGGGCAGTGAACAGCCAGAGACAACACACAGAGGCACTGCAGAGTTCAGATAAAATCACTCAGTTCAAATAGTTCCCTCTGGAGAGATCCGTGCACACTCGGGGGTTGCCGAGGACGACCAGACCAAATCCAGAGTCCTGAAATGATGACAGAATGTTTATTCAGCTGGGCTCCTCTGAAAAGTCCATGGAGATTCCTCAGTAGGAGGGGAGGGAGGGGCTGAGCATCAGGTTTACAAAACCTCCAGGCGGGTTGAGATAAGACGGCCTGTCAAGGCCAGTCAAGGAGCCAAATTCAGATAAACACGATTGTTTTGGGGACAGGCAGAACTTTGATGACATCTACCTTGAGTTGGTATCGGTCCACTCACTTCCGAAACGTCCAAATTAAATGACCATACCAATGGAACGTGCCTGAGAATAATCACCGAGATCTGCTCTATTCTGCCAAGAGTCTGGGTGCTCGAGGCACGAACCAAGCCATCATATAAGGCAGGCAGCCTGACCAGGTCCAGATTTGCTGCCAATGACTTCCTTGTTTGTTGATAGACCAGGAACCAGCTGAATCCAAAAAGCAGGAACCAGTTATCATAAATCAAATTATAAATGTGTCCTTAAATCCACAGATGGCAGCAGAGATAGACACATCATCAAGTCTTCCAAGTCGATGAGATACCCAGCTGCATGCATGCCAACAGGGCAAATCAGCTCACCTAAAGCCTGTCTACTTTTCAAAGAAATGTTATCAATTGTGTTAAGGGACCAAATCCAAATCCATAGTTATGATTCACAAGATTTGTAGGAGAGGCTCTAAAGCAGTTTCACAGACAGGACAGAGCAAAAGCAAAGCGAAAAGGGAGATGAGGAGATGTCCGCCCTTGAGAAGAGCAAGTGTTGAATCAAACTAAGAATCAACAACCATAATAAACAAACAATAATAATTAATCAAGCAAGGCTTAATTCTCTTATCTAAGGTAAAATAAACTCTTTGAGTAGGAATTATTTTGTTTTTTATACACACAAATTTAGACAAAGTTTGACTATTTTAATAAATATTTTACTTTGGATTTTGGTTGCTGAAGTATTTTTAATGTGATCAGATAAGGTAATTTATTATCATTTCAAGCCAGGAAATTATATAACAAGTTGCATCAGCTAAAATAGCATAAACAGTCCAAGAATTGCATCATGTCACCAGGTTTCTGTACCTTACCGGGTCAGTGTTGAGGACACCAGATCACTCATCTTCCTGGTGCTCTGCTGGTGGATCAGACCAGGATACACCACGAGGGGGACTCACCAGGATCTGCCCAAGGTAGCCGAATGTCACTGTCATTGAAATCAAATAACTTAAAAAGTTTAATTCAATTCAAAATGCTTTATTATTACCAAAGGGAAATTAAATGTTGATGTAGCTCATCATCCTGGTTTCATGAAGAATTGTTACATATGCTGAAGGCTGTGGGCAGGAAGGATCTGCAGCAGTCTGTACCACAGAAGATGTAAAGGAACTGGCTGCAGATGCTGATCCGTCCACCCAGACCCAATGGGCCTCTTGGTCCTCCTGGGCAGCAAGACCACCTGAATGTTGGCCAGAAACCCTCCCTAAGCGATGGCCACTCCTCTCAGCAGCTTGTTGAGCTCCTCATCATTGCAGACAGCTAACTGCAGGTGTCAGGGGATGATCCTGGTCTTATTGTCATGAACCACGTTTCCTGCCAGCTCCAGGATCTCGGCAGTCAATCACTTGAGCACCTCCACCAGATAGATGGAGATGCATCCACGATGCCTCCTTTCCAACTCATTTGAGATTTGGGGCTGTATTTGAGGAAATATATGACTTTTGAGATGTTAATCAGCTGCTCCCTGTTGTAAAAAAACACCTTGTCATGGTTATGCTACACAACGAATGTCCAAAAGTAAAAATGTTTTCAGTGAAAATTCTGTCCAGCTCAACAGCATTTGATACCGGAGGAAGTAGTCATCCAAAAAATGCCATTTACATCCCGAAAAAGAGGACATAAAGTTTTCAAAAGCAATATCCCAGAATGAAAATAACAGTTACACCAACATACAGCCACCTTGAGTGGTGCAGTTCTAGAACTGTACTTTCTTACTAAATCATTATTTGCCACTCTGAACAGTCAGCTATCAGTGTTTATTTTGGAATAAAAATGCATCCATGGATTGCCAAGAGGATCTTGCACCTGCTCCGCAGGCTTGAAGGCATGAATGTCACTTCCTAGTTTCATGCACTATTACTGGGCAGCTAATATCAGAGCTCAGCTATTCTGGGTAGGGAGACCTTCAATATATGATGTGTCTGGTAGACACCAGGGGTCACAGAGGAGTGCAGCTTCATGCTACACATGTAAATCAGCTCAGACCATCCATCCACCCATCCATCCATCTATAAACACACACACACACACACACACACACACATATATATATATATATATATATATATATATATATATATATATATATA